CACCTCGCCCGGCTAGTTTTTTGTATTTTTTAGTAGAGACGGGGTTTCACCGTGTTAGCCAGGATGGTCTCGATCTCCTGACCTCGTGATTCGCCTGTCTCGGCCTCCCAAAGTGCTGGGATTACAGGCTTGAGCCACCGTGCCCGGCCCAATATTTCTTTTAAGTGAAAAATTAAATGTTTACTATCTGTTAGCCTCGACACTTTACCTTCTGCAGCCTCAATTTTTCTGGCTCTAGCAATCTTCCCATCTCAGCCTCTTAAGTAACTGGGACTACAGGTAGTGCCACCATGACTGGCAAATTTTTGTAATTTTTTGTAGAGATGAGTTTCACCATGTTGCCCAGGCTGGTCTCGAATGCCTGGACTTAAGTGATCCTCCCACCTCGGCTTCCCAAAGTGCTGGGATTATAGGCATGAGCCATCATGTCCAGCCAAAAGGTTGAAACATTTTCTGAATTTGAAAACAAAGTGCATGTCATTTAAATACTTATTCCTTAAAATCTGGAAGACATGTTAACACCATATAAACCCAGAGCCTGTATTTTCAGATTAGTAACAAGTAGATATTTTCAATTTCTTCTAAAGTTTAAAAAAAAATAAATATTTTGTATTCAGAGAATTCTTGATAACGGAAGGTAAACATTTTTCACTTAAAAGAAATGTGATTACTTTGAAAAGAAATTTGGTTATTGTAAGTTAATTTTTGTTTAAAAAATAATTTAAGGAAAATAATGCTCAAAGAGCATGGTCATGGCATTTATTCCAGAGGGAGGAAGTTTATCCTGATCTGCCTGTAACAACAAAAGTATATGGATCAAGATAATTCTATAGAGACATAAATTCAAAGATAGCATATAATTTTATTTTAAAAATGAAGATAATTTTTTGATACCTGTTTTAAATGTGAGAGAACAAACCCCATAAAAAAATGAACTTTGGGAGGATATAAACAAGTACTGAGAACAGTGTGAGGAATAAAATTCTCATCCTGGCTTGGTGTGGGCAGAACCTCAGTCTGAGAACAAGCCCACTATGGTGGTGTTAGGGCCCCTCTGTATAAAAACTCTTCTCATTACTGAGAATTGAAGTCTCAGGGAAAAAAAAACAGTATTAACCTCAACACGAAATGATTGGTTCATCATTTGATATACCCTGTGCCTTTATAACATGTTCAATTGTGTTGTCATTCTATAAATTTTATCATTTGTTACATTTAAAACCAGAATAATTTCAAATTTGAAGTGAATAAGTCCCTTAGAGAAACAAATTTCAAAATACCACACCCTACCTATCCACATCTATATCATCTATGTCTGCGTTAGGCCATTTTTTGTATTGCAAAAAGCAAAAACATCCTTCTAGGCCTTCTAAACTTTATAGGATAACACAAACATTGATGCAATGGTGATAGACAAAGATGGATGTTAATATTATTTGGAAACAGTTTCATTTATAGTGTTATGAGCAAACCATCAAGGGGTTGGTGGTCTTAGGCATTATTTCCCACTAGGGTCTATACCTTTGCATGTGAAAAGTAGGTACTAGAGGAAGAGCGAAGAGAGAGCACTGTCACTGTTCCCAGAGAACTGGACTAGAGAAATACGAAATCGCGTAGAGAATGATTGTGCACGCAGCGCTTTTCCCTGGGGAAGCTGTCTCATTATTTCGGTTGTATATTTTTACTACAATGATAAATTATTGGTTTTGAGTTTAGATGTGTTCATTAAATATAGGTTAATGTTATGGTCCCGAAATGTTAGGATGATACATAGAACCTGTGGGAAATTGTCCGTCACTCACATAACCAAGGAGAAAGAGAAGACAACCGTGGGTATCTTGCATCGTGATGTGATCTTGAATTGACCGATTAAGACAGCCAATGCGAGCTACCCACATGCAGCAATTGAAGTTTCCAAAACAGATAATTACAATGTGCTAAGATCAGTTCATATGAAACACACATATTTGACGTGAACATTTTAAGTTTGAGTATCCGGTGTGTATGGGCGTTTTGTTTTTGTTTTTGTTTTTTCAGACGGAGTCTTGCTCAGTTGCCCAGGCTGGAGTGCAGTGGTGTGATCTCAGCTCTCTGCAACTCCACCTCCCTGGTTCAAGCAATACTCCTGCCTCAGCCTCCCGAGTAGCTGGGATTACAGGCACCTGCCACCACGCCTGGCTAATTTTTGTATTTTTAGTAGAGACAGGGTTTCTCCATGTTGGCCAGAATGGTGTCCAACTCCTGACCTTAGGTAATCCTCCCGCCTCGGCCTCCCAAAGTTCTGGTAGCCTATCAGTTTAAGCCTGCCGCTTGCCTTGGTGCACAGAGCGCTGCCTCTGAACTGGGGTTGCACATTCCTAGGGAACGCGGCACGCCCTCTTTGCAGGGGAGCCGCTCTCCCGGTGCAGGAAAGAAGTGTGCTTATCTCTAATCTTAAAAATTAGGGATGGCCTCCGTGGCGGCTCACGCCTGTAATCCCCAGTACTTTGGGAGGCCGGGGCCGGCGGATCACGAGGTCAGGAGTTGGTGACCAGTCTGGCCAACATGGTGAAACCCCGTCTCTACTAAAAATACAAAAATTAGCCGGGCACCGTGGTGCGCGCCTGAAGCCCCACCTACTCGGGAGGCTGAGGCACAAGAATCGCTTGAACCCGAGAGACGCAGGTTGCAGTGAATCGAGATCATGCCACTGCACTCCAGCCTGGGCAACAAAGCGAGACCTTGCCTTAAAAAAAAAAAAAAAAATTACGGATACCTGTTTTACTTGTTTTCCAGACTTGTCTCTGGCTTGATCAGGGCAAATAACTATGTGTTTTTTGTATCTGTGTAACAAAAATATGTTGGTTTTTAAAAATAAAAACATAAGAGGTGCCCCCGGCCCGCAGCTGCTTGGAGCCGGAGGCTGCGCTTGAACAGGCCAGGGAGCCACGAGGCAGCGCAGAACCTGAGTCCAGAGAAACGACCTGGAAACGGAGCTTCTCGCAGAATGCGGCGGGGACAGCGGCTGCCGAGCAGGGGCTCTGGAAATCACTGACCCCTGAGCCCCAGCACCGCGCGGGCAGACGCAGGGGTTGGCCCGGGTGGCCGGAAGAGCTCAGGGAGCACAGCCCTCACGCGCAGGCGCGCTGCGCTCCCCCGCGCTGTGACGTCATTGATGACCCGCGCAGACGACTCCTCAATACAGGCGCCTCCCTCTCAGCGCTAGAGCCCAGGCCACTGCCAGGGAAGTAGCCCTGCCAGGCGAGTGGCCCTGCCAGGCGCTCCTGCTTCTGCTCGCGGGGTCGCTCCCCAGGAAAATTGTATGTGGCATGTCCCCTAAAAGCACTCGCATTTCAGGGTAAAATGTTTGAATTATGTTGCAGCCCTTTAAAATAATCGCTGATCATTATTGATTTCCTCAGGTATTTATTGTCACAATGTTAATCATGATGACCTCGCTCGGTATTAATGTGCATGTCCCAACTAGTTCTTGCAGTGATTGATTGCACAATTATTTTAAGGGTTACCAGTTTTCCTAATGCCTCCTACTTGGCAGGAGTTTGGGTTGCATTTTTGCAGATACAGGGTGCAGTAGGTACACTTGTCCTCTGCCTTCCGGGTCAAAATCAGTCCTGTTTAAATCTCGCAGGCTACTTGACGCCCTTGCTCGCAGTTTTCATCCATAGTCTCAATATGCCAACCTTATTAATCTTTTAAAGACTACTCATCTAATACAGGTGACTGTATTTTAAATATGGATGGAAGTTGGCCTGTGAGGAAATACATTTTTTTTAAAGGCAACCAACAAGTACTAGTTCTTTTTTTTTTTTTTTTTTTTTTGAGACGGAGTCCCGCCCTGTC